CAGGCGGGGATCAAATTTGTGGAAGTGGCTTAAACTTAGTGCTGTGCTTTAACCATCTGCATCACCAGGGAGGGCCCCCAAAGTTTTAAAGAAGGTACATTAAAATGTGATATTTTAATGAATGGAAACACCTTTGGGAAAAGTTTTAAAAGTTAGGCAATAAGGATACTTTAATGCCTTTCATATCTATGGGAGCCTTGGGGGTGGGTGTGGTGTGGAAACACACATCTGAAGAGGTACCTGTGTCTCTGAATCATCTTAAATGTGTAAACTGATGTTACCTCACTAAAAATTATCAGAAAATAAACTCTTCCATATTAAGATAAACTGAACACCACAATGATCCATGCCAATTTTCTAGTCAGAGAAAATGAATTTTAGACATTTTCAACTTAAAGTCTGGATTGGATGATATTAATGACTGTTCTTGATAGGCTGCACATTCCAGAAGCTGCCCACAGCCAAAATTATCAAAGAACAAATGAGAGCAGCCTAAACTTCTCGAATGCTCAGAAATAACTAAGAGCCCATGTCGAAAGTCACTTTGCCATCTCCTTAGGCCTGGATGGCGCCACTCCACAGGGAAAGGCTCATCCTCAGCAGCATCTCTAGACCCAACTGAGAGCAGTGAGCTCAAGCATGAATTCCCTCAGGCACTCTCCTCTTGTCTCACTGGCTTGGTTTAAATTAAATGAACTTCCTGAGTCCTGAGGAGTGAGCCCCACACCCCAGTAGACTGCCGGGTAGCTCATTACTACAGCTACACTCAACAGACTGTACACTGCTGGATTTATGTGTGCTTCCTGGAAATACTGGGTCATCATTATAAGGGAGCAAAGAGCAAATCTTCATTTGTAGATTGGAAGATGGATTTATCTGCTGGAAAAAGTATCAACTAGATAATTTTTTGGATAAGTTTTGCTTACCTTCCTTTTGCACCAGTTACCAGTAGGTATAATAAGTAAAATTGTCATTGCAGCTGAGAGCTTTAATGTTAACAGTTGTAACAATAATAACAAAACAAAAAGGTTGTTTGGAGACTAAAACATTACCATGCTCAGCAGCAATGGCTCAAACTAATTTCATTTACACCTCTCACCCCCCCCCACCATTTCCACCCCCCCACCCCCATCACAGTTAGGAATAATAATAGTACTTATTTCTTGGCAGTATTATAGTAGTTAATTCAAGTGCTGATTATAGCTCTTATAGCAGTGTCCAGAATATGGTGTCACAAAAGTGTTTGATATATCAATAACGCTTGCTTACCTTATAGTCATTCAGTGTCATGATAAACCTCTTGATTTAATTAAAAAACCCAGAAAGAATATTCAGCTATCAGCTAGGAGGGAGGGAAGCTCTGGCATTAGTAGCTCCTTAGAGGGAATGAAGAAATGTAGATTGTTGTCATCAAAAATAAAAAAAGATGCGATGGACTCTCATATTGTTGGTGTGAACATAAGACAGTCCAGTTGCTGTGAAAAGAGTTCCTCAGAAAGTTCAATATAGAATTGCCACATGATTCAGTAATTACTAGGCCTATATATATCCCAAAGAACTGAAAAGAGGTACTGAACTTTTTCTCCACACTTCCTCACAGCAGCACTATTCACAATAACCAAAGGAGGGAAGCAACAAGATGCCTGTCGGCTTATAAATGGATAAACAAATGCAACAAATGCAGTATTTCCACCTTATGGACAACAAATACTAATGTCTGGCTGTACGAATGCAGGGCACAGCATGGATAAATACGGGGAACATCATGTCAAGTGAAAGAAGCCTGACACAAAGGTAACATTTCCTGTGATTCTACTTATAAGAGAGTCCAAAGAGATTAGAGGCAGATTGGTGGTTGCCAGGAACTGGAGGGAGGTGGGGTGGGGATTAACTGCTTAGTGCAGATACACCTTGCTTTTGGGGTGGAGAAATGTCTTGGAGTTGGAATGAGGTGTTGGTTGCACAACATTGTGAATGAACTAAGTGCCACTGAATTATTCACCTTTTTAGGTAAATTTTGTCTCATTAAAAATGCACGCATACCTAAGTAGGTCAAGAGCCAGTGCCCTCTCTGATTTGGTGGAGAAGACAGAGCTTTCCAGGCTCTTTCCACACACCAGAGACTCTTTACTTCAGAAAGTCTCCTAATACCCAGCTCTTCTGTGCTGCGGTTTTCTAATCTGTAAAAAAATGAAGTTGGACTAGAGGAACACTAGGGCACCTCCATTTCCAAAACAAGGGCAAAGAAACTCAACATCCTTTTCCCACCTCTCATCTCCATGCTTGAAAATGCCAGGATCTATGCTTGCAGATGTACACGGAAGACAATGTTGTAATTAAATTACAGAGAAATCAATTTGTTTTAGTTGTTAATATGGAAAGTATTCATTATTCTAATGACACACATTAATAGATAAATAACTAAAACAAATGCACATTAACAATGAGCGTGAGCTTTGCTAGGACTCTCATTTGCAGGCTCACCCCTGCACTCTGCGGCCTGTGTACACCCTTTGGTTGGCCACACGCTGTGCTTCCCTGTCAGTCTCCAAGCTCTGGCCCTCTGTCAAGTGCAGGAAGCCCAAGGTGAGTGGGAGCTGTTGATTGACCAACAGGTACCCTTGCCAAGAGGGAGGGCGGCAAGGGATTGCGTATCCTCTAACATGCCCACGCTTTGCCATATCACCAAGTGGTTTATCATGCCACCAATCACTAGAACTTGCTTATAGACTGTCGCTGTAGTGACAACAGGCTAGTAAAATTAATGAAACATAATTTGAACAGGTAAGCCAAATGTACCCACCCCTGGGATTTAAAATCCGGATCAAGTGTTTATTCTAGAAGTGGGGATATCGTTTTCTGACTCTTTGGACTGCTACCTCCTGTACCTGCTAGTGCAGATTTCTGGTCCCTCTGTAAATATCCTCCTAATCATTCCCAGGAGTATTAGTTGTAGCTGCAAAGAATCTTCAAATAGAAGAATTTTGGCCAATGATTATCTGTCATTTCCCAGCCTTTTAATTTGGAGGCAGAGAATTAATTCTGAGTCACAGCCCAAAGTTACAAAAGTCACAAGCTGCTGTGTACCACCAACGTTCAGGGCACCTCAGATTTGTTTCTCTGGTAACTCCATTATCTATAATGCCTTTGGAGGAGGTCCCTGGGGGGGTTCAAACATAAGTGGGAGGAGGGCCTTCCTCCCTTTTAGTATTGTGTTTCCGTTTCTCTGCTTGCTGCAAAAGAACAGCGCCTCAGTTTTCAGACCAGAGCTCCCAGGAAGGTAACATCCTCTATGGCTGGCTGGGGAGACAAAGCCTAGAGATCAGTGTCCTGCAGGGTGCATAACTGCCGGCTCCATTAGGGTTTTGTTTGGGCCAGACTGATCTGCCTCTTTTCCAGAGAAGTCTCTTAAGGGGAGGTCTCCCAATTCCTTCAGCAAATAGACTTTCCATGGAGGTTCCAGACCTGCTAGACTCCCACATAGTGGCTGCTCTTGCTCAGGGTCAGATAACAGGCTCCCAGTAATTATTTAGTAGGCACCTACTATGTAGTAGAGGCTGGAAGTGCAGGGTGAGGGGCTCCTGTTAGCACAGAGCAGCTGTAAGAACTTAGACTTCAGCAGCTTGAATCCTGGCCAACCAACGCCTATTCTTGCATCTGCTGCTGAACCTTGGTAGCATCTTTGCAGAGAACCTCCTCTCAGCGTTACCAGAAGTTTCATCCAAGTGCCTTACTGATGTCTGCTCCCGAGCATCCCTCAGGTTGTCACAGACACTTGTCTCTGACTGCTGCTTTTCCTCCTGCAGCAGTGAGTGCTGCTCCTGTTTTACACTTTGTTCTTGGCTAGGATTTTGCCCCATTTCTTCCTTCATGTTCCTCTTCCTGAGTCCCCTCCCTACCCTCCCCCCACACCCCCACCAGGCAGTGAGGAGAGGGCTATGGGAAGGAGATAAAGGTGAAAAAACTGTAGAGGATTTTGTGCAAAATAAACAATACCTGTAAAACCTGTATTCTCTTGCTTAATTTAAGTGAAGAATTCTAGTTCAGACCAATGCAAAATTAAATATGGATATGGCTTTGTGTGTGATTGTGAACTTTGCTCACCTCCCACTGATTCTGATCTCTAGTATTGGGTAAGAAAGAATAAAAATTTAAAAGCAATCAGCTGACCTTTGATAACTAAACATGGGGTGTTCATCCCTCCTCCTAAGTGCAAATTTTTATAGGAAAAGAGAGACCTAGAATATAGTCTTGTCTTGTGGGAGACAAACCTGTGTTGACTAATGTGTGATTAATTTTGAAGGCAGACTTGCAGAACACCATATTTTGATTTAGTAGGATGCTTGAAAGATAGGTGTATGAAAACATTCAGCAAAACAAAACACAGTATTTTCCGGGGGCCAGATGTGGCCCAGCATTTCTTTACTGTGCACATTCCACTCCACTAAGCGCATAGTAAGGCTTATGGAAACGTTTGTTAATTTTTGTTAAAACTGAATTTCTCCCTCTCTACCTTTGGTTAGTTAGACCCTTTGGCCTGGGTCAAACAACAGAGGAAAGGGGAAGGAGAAAATGCACTAGGTAAACTGGGAGATTACGTTTTACTATAAATGTGTGTGTGTGCCTGGGTTTATTATTTTGTTCAAAAGCCCAGAATGTGGCTGTAAACTGTGCTGTTAACTCCATTTACATTTTCAGAATTGGGGATCCAGGTTTTCAAGTTTGTTATGGACTTTTATGCAAAACAATATGCAAATGAAAGCATTCTAAAAATCCCATCTGTTCTCCAGGCCCTCCCCCTGGTCGCACACAACTGAGGCTCGCGCCTGGCTCGCCCCGCTACTGTGCGGAGAGGTGAGCGCCGCGCGGGGGACGGGCTGGAGGGCAGGGCTGTCCTGGAGGCGGTCCCGGGGCGGAGCCTGGGCGGGGCCCGTGACGCGCTGAGCCGACCGGCTCGGGGGCTGGACCTCAGCCTCTCCCCGCCCGGGGCCGCCGCCGCCGCCGCTCCAGTGGTGGCTCCGCATCTCCAAAGCGGGCCTCCCGACTCATCGCTGGGTCAGTCCGGCGCTGGGTCGTGGAGCTCCGCACAACTCCCGCTGGTCCCTGACCTGGATCCATCTTCCCCAGAGTTGCAAATAACTTCTCCTACTTCCCGGCGCCGCGGCGGCTGCGGACCGTGGCCGCCGCAGGTAGCTGAAGCCGGGGCCAAACTCCCAGTACCGCGGCGCGCGCGCGGAGTTCGTCACCTCCCTGGGTGCGCGCTGGGGGTCCCCGAGCTCGGCTCTGCGGGCGAGATGCCCCTGGGACACATCATGAGGCTGGATCTGGAGAAAATCGCCCTAGAGTATATCGTGCCCTGTCTGCACGAGGTCGGCTTCTGCTACCTGGACAACTTCCTGGGCGAGGTGGTGGGCGACTGCGTCCTGGAGCGCGTCAAGCAGCTGCACTGCAACGGGGCCCTGCGGGACGGCCAGCTGGCGGGGCCGCGCGCCGGAGTCTCCAAGCGGCACCTGCGGGGCGACCAGATCACGTGGATCGGGGGCTACGAGGAAGGCTGCGAGGCCATCAGCTTTCTCCTCTCCCTCATCGACAGGCTGGTCCTGTACTGCGGGAGTCGGCTGGGCAAATACTCCGTCAAGGAGAGGTCCAAGGTAGGACAGTGCTGGGCGCCCCGCTGCTGCTTCAGCTCGCAGGGACCTTGGACTTCAGAGTCCGTTGTCTGTCGCCTTCGCAGGGCTGAAAGTGATCTTTCGTGTTTAAGTAAGCTAAGTCTGGTTTCCGCCTCCTCTGCCTCCCCCTCCCCTGAGCGAGTATCCTTGCGGAGGGACTCAGGTGTGTAACTGTAATGACCTCTGTTTACTTTCAGATAATGGCTCGGGTGGGTGGTACATGCCAGATAACACGCTGGCTTTTGGGTCTGTTCTAAGACTTGGAGACTCGAAAGTCCAAACGGGCCACAGCTTCTTCGAAATATCGTGTATGAGCTGAGACATTGGATGAATGTGTGGTCTTAACTGTCCAAGGTCCCCTAATATTGCTCTTCATTTGTGTTTGGAAGGGATTCCTACCAACGCATTTAAACAAAATTCTGGAAAAGTTGGGATTTTGTACTGTGGCGGTTGGTTTGTGGTTGGCAGATGTGGGAAGAGTTTGACCTATGAAAGGGTAATTCTACTCTTCACTTTCCAGTGCTGTCCTTGTCTGGTTGCACCCAGGACACTGTTAGACCATCTACTTGACTGAAATTTCTCCCTTGGTGCTGAGCTCCCTCCCACGCCCCCACTAGCAATTGATGGGGGAAAGCCACCCACAACAGCCAGTGAAGAGATCTTGAGCTGAGACACTGGATGAATGTAATCAAGGGTAATCAAGGACCTCTGAAAAGCAACCTGGCTTTTTGTCCCGATACCGAAGTAATTTGCTGGGTGATTTATCTTGGGAACATTCACAGGTAAATTGGCAGAAATATGGGTGTAGTACCCTAGTGTCGGTACTTATTGGCTAGTCTAGTTACACAGTCTTTCTATGAATGATCCTCCAGCTAGTTTTAGTGGCAGTTGAGTGATTTACAGGGAACTATAGAAAACTTTTACTTGAACACTGAGGCAAAGCATGCTGGCATGAGAAGGAAGACAAACATTCACCTGTGACCATTCTTGAACAATATATGTAGTGTTTCTCAATGTAAGGTTGATCCTGTGATACAGCTTATCATTGTTGTCTCCTTTGTCTATCCCATAAACTGGGATCAACACTTAATAAAGGGCAAGAGTTCACGTGAAGACTGGAAATGTGTAGAAATAGAGATGGGTGAGTGGTTTGGGAAGAAATAGGTTGCTGTATACCTTTTAATTAGGGGGTCATGAGTAGAATATTTGAAAGCATCTTTACTAGTCAGACACAAATCAATAACCAGACACTAATAAAATAAATCTTAGAAGAAATTGCTGGTTTTAAAGTTATAATTTAGGGGAAACTCAGAGTTAGCTGGATTCTAGAAGATTGACGTTAAAGTGTTTCTTTCCTCTTCCATCATTTTGGTGGTGGATTAGGATGCCATTTGTCTTGATTAGTTTTGCTTTTGCACTAAATGACCTTGCCTGCTGGAGGTGGGGGAGGGTAAGGGGGAAGGGCCACCATCAGCCTTGCCTAAGGACTTGAAGCTTCAACTTGGAAGAGCAGATGGCCTCTTATCAGTTTTTTAAAAGTGTTTTTTAAACTTAGGTGTTAGGAATACCCTCCCCACTGGCATTCTAGGGACAGAGTTTGTCCCAGGGAACTAACTCATTAGAAAATTAAGTAATTTTACTTTGTCTTCAGACAGTGATAGGATTTTAGGCAAGAATTTAGAGAAATCGAATGAAAAGCATTGTATTCTTCTGGGTAAGGGGAAAAGAGCTCTAGCTATGAGTGTTTACTTATGGGTTATCTTCTAAGCAGGACAAATAACTTCTCAGCTAACCTTATGAGGAGGTGATTGTGAACTGGAAAAGAAAATTCATCTTTTATCCACTGAAGAGGCATCTTCTTATACCTGTATTTCTAGCTTTCCTTTGGCTGTTTTGGCATAATGCTCTTCATGCCTGCCTTTTAGAAAAACCACTTCTAGATTGAGATGATCTCTAGCCAACTAGAACCAAATGCAATCCATGCTTGAGCAATCAATTATTAGGGTAAAAAGTTTGCTTTGCTTGTTTGAGGAAATTTCCTTAGTAATGTCTTGTGGCTGTTGGTCTCTTGAAGACCATTTTTAAAGTATTGTAGAAACATTCCATTTCTACACTATTTATATTTGTTTCACTTTAATTTAACCTTTTTTATTTCTCTTCCTTCAACTCATGCCTTACTCTGTGAGGCTTCCCAGAGTGGTACTAACAGACCCAGTTTTCTGTTGCATCCTTCAGACATCCTTTAGTTTTCAGTAAAAACTAAACCTTTAAAAGGTCAAATTTGTACATTTGTTTTTAAAATTTATTCATAGCTTATTATTATGGAGATTTTCAAGTATGTAAATGTGGAGAGACTTGTATATCCCTTATGAGCTTTTTCCCTCATTCATTTTTAATAATTGTCAACAATTATGTGTATTTTACATCCATTGTTTTTTGGTACTTTAAATTTTTCAGGATTATGCTTATTAATACATTTTCCTAATTAAACCTCCTCCCCTTATACATTTAAGCTCATCAACTAATTTAATAACACACTTTATCTCAATGAAGCAACAGCAAAGGCTTTGGGAATAGAATGTGCTAGACCTAAAATTGAAATTGTGGGAAAGTCTGGAGAGACATTAAAGGGTTTCCCCTCTCTGCCAAGGAAGCTGTAAAGGGTCAGAATTTATTGACCTCCACTTTGTGGGAGAGAAATCTCAGGGTGTTGAAGACCCTTTGGACACAGGGTTGCTTACAGTGTACTACAGCAGTATGGCGCCCCCTAACTTCAACTGTGATCATTGCTTTCAGGATATCAGAAGATTTATCTGTGACTCCCTTAGGAGAATTTAGACCCTATCCAAGATAAATAATTGTTCATAATTTGGTCCTTTTGCTTTGGCTGCCTACATCCTTGAAAAATGGCTTTTTTCCAGCAAACATGTAATTTACAGAACTAAAAGACCTTCTGCTGGAAGCATCTCACTGTAGACTCACTAGTAAGTAGGGAATAATAACAGCTACCTTTTTTATTGAGCAGTTCGCTGTGTTTGGCACTGTGCTAAGCACTTTATAAGCCCTTAATCTTACTTAGTCTCCAGAAACACAGTTTTCAGCAGAGTGATTAAATTATTTACCCAAAGTTGCAAAGTCATTGGTAAGAAGCAATTTATTGTAGGGGTTTGGGGCTTAGACTCGGCATTACTAACCTTGTGGCTGTAGGTAAGTTGCTTAGCTTTCTGCACTTGAAACATGAGAGATAATAACTCCTTAAGCTTTTGGTAAGGGGCATTATATATATAAAATTCCTAGCAACATTTGGAAGCTTCCTCAATGTCATAAGGCTTATAAATGGGAGACTTGGGCTTCTAACTCAGGTCTGACTCCAGAGTTTGTGTTCTTGACTAGTGTGCTCCTATTTTTCATCTTTCATTTATTCAGCAAGTGTTTTGGAGTTTTTACTCCCTGAGGGTCATTATGCAGGGGTTGGGGAGACAATGGTGAACAGAGTAGGACTCCTGGTTCATACCTGCTTAACTCTAAAAACTTAACTCTCCCCTCCCCTCCAACTCAAACATTAAAAGTAAGCCAGCTAAGTACATTTAAAGAAGAAAATGGAATGTTGAGCAGTTTTCCTACTATTATATGTAGAAAAAGTATTTGTTAACGAGTATTGTTAGGACCTCTGAATGGAGTAGTTCTGGATGATGGGGTTTTGGGGGTTACATTGTGAGCTGACAGTTAGGTTCTTCCCTGAAGACAGTGGAGAGGAATGATGACACAGCAGTAAGTTATGCATATGAGAATATGTGTTGCAAAGTGATCTTTTTCCCTTTGCTGTTTAGCAATAACAGTTTGGGCCACCCTTCTCATGCGCTGTCGGGCATATCCATCACTCAGGGGAGCTTAACATGGTGGCAAGTTATTTTAAGCAAAACACAGACAGTGTATTTTGAAGATCATAGTCTCTCTCAGACCCAAGTGCAGGAAATGCAGTCAGGGTTCACGGAAGGCTGGAGCCAGGAGCTGAAACCAGAAAGTCCTTGACATCCAGGTCAACTGACGTGTTCATTCTTTTCTCTGCAGCTTTATGGCCTTCACATTGCTTTCCCTCTCGTGCTCTTTATTTCGTGCCCTCCACGCTCAGCCCAGCTTTTGCTGCTTTTACAATGTATGTGGCTCAAGATGGCTGCCTCACTTCAGCCTCAGTTGGACATAACAGAGACTTGAACATTTCAGATCCCTGTTTTCATTCTTTGGGAGAAAGTCTGGTGGCCTCACATTGGCTGAGGGTATCTAAGTAGAATCTTACATGTCGCATATATGATTGCAAGGACCCAGAAAAGGGGCCTTAGAGCGGAGTTTGAGGTCTAATTTCTATCAGTGTTCTCTCTGCGGTAGTTTGGGGGAGGGCACTGAATTTGAAACACTGGAACATATTTTGGATGTGAGGAATTCTTATAAAAGGTTCTATATTTAAAAATAACTTAGCTCCTAGAGAAAGGAAATTAGTCCAAGAAAATAAATTGCAGACTACAGAATGAGTGACAGTGAAGCAGTTCTCTCACCACTGGGTGAGTGTTACATGATGTTTTTTTGTCTGTTTCTTTATTGAATGGCGGTTGGGAACAAAGAGGATGGTAGAAGTGAGTTTGAGGGACTTACTTCGTCGTGTATTTTGTTCAGTTTTGGGCCACTGACCACTCCACCACAACCTTATCTGCTTACAGAGAACCAGGAAGTCAGGAGGTAGCAATTTATTCATTCACAAGTCATTAATTACCTTGCACTGTGGTAGATCTGTTTGTGACTGTGCGGAGAGGGAGGTGGAAAGTGATTAGAAAACCACCTGAAGAAGTAAAATGAAAGTGAGTGGTGTTATCAACTTTGCTTTCTCTTTTTTTCTGGTTAAATATCTATTTTTATATGATTAGTCACATTTTAAAAATCTACTTAAAATGTGACTAAAATAAGCCACCAAAACTACAGGATTTTCC